GGTTTTTTGGGGGGGGTCCTGGGAAAAAAAAGTTTCCCCGGGAAGGTTTTAGGGAAACCCCACGTGGGGGTTTCCCCGGGGTGGGTCCCGGGGGATGGAAAAAGGGGGGTCTCCTTAGGGGGGGTGTAAAGGGGGGGGGGTTTTTTTTTTGGGTTTTTTCTGGAACGATTAGTGTGGGAAGAGGAAGGTAGTGAAATTAGGTATGGATGGTACGCCAAAGTTTCACGGGAATGTTTTTTTTCATAGTGAGATATAAGTGTGGTTTCCGGGGTTACTTTTTAAGCCCCATGGTTTTTGTTTTACTGGGTTTTAAAAATTTTTTGAAAGCCGGGTACCGGCCCTTAGGGTCTCGTTTTTTGGGAATTAAAATTGGCACGTTTGGGACCCAAAACAAAAATTTTTTGGTTTCGTGTCTTTTTTTTTGGGGCTGGAAAAATTTCAGCAGCCTTTCTTTATTACTTCTCTTGCTTTTGTTTAAAATTTTATTGTCAGTGAAGGTTCTATGTGAAAAAAAATTTTAAATGTATGTAAAAGGGTTTTTGGGGCTTATCAATGTTTTTTAAGGGGGTTAAAAAAAAAAAAAAAAAAAAAAAAACAGTCTTCTGGGGCAATTTTTCGGGTTAAATACATATGGGGGGAGTTTTAAATTTTGTATAGGGTTTGGTTATAAAACCCTTTTTTTAAAGTGCCGAGGTTTGTTATAAATACTTGTTTTTTATTCTTTTTTATTTTATTTTTTCATGCCAAAGGGTTTTTCTTTTTTTCTGGAAACAAAAATTTTTGTATTAGAGGGGTTTAAAATATTAAAAATAGTAAAAAATTTTCTGTTTTTTCCATTAATTTTTTGTGAAAGGAATCATATGTTCCTTCCGGGGGGTTTCCATTGGTTAGGAATTTAAAGTACCATAATTTTTAAACCAAAAATCTGTACCCTGTCATGGGGGTATGTTAGGGTTTTGTTTGTTTTGGGGTTTTGGGTTTTGGTAGTTTTTGGGTTTAAACTTGTGATTTTTTGTTTCATTTGTATGTTTTTTTTTGTTGTAAAAAGGACATGTCAGGTTTTTCATTTTTTTACTGTTTTTTCTATGTAAAGTTTCTTTTTGGTGTTTTCCCTTTTGGGGACAATGGCCGGCGGGAACTAATTTAAAGACTTTAATAAACTTTTTGTGAGGATTGTCTTTGCGTGTATTGGGTTTTTCTATAACAAGATGTTATTAAAACTTGTTCCCGCAAAAGGGAAAAACCTGGGACTAGAAAACAAAAAATGTTTTTGTATTTCTGTCTTTTTTAAGCATTTTCCCTTTTTACTTTTGTTTAAAGGTTTTTTAAAAAAAAATTTAAAAAAAAAAAAAAACCCCTTTTCCCAAAATATCTACTTCCACCACCAAACAAGGACATTACCCGAAAAAACAAAAACTTCAATCCCCCCTGCAGGGGTTTAAAAATAACCCTTGTAATGGGCTGCAGCAAATTATACGTGGGCGAAACATCCAGAGACCTCCAAAAACACGTATTTCAGAACACCAGTAAGCAGGCAGATCTGACGATCCAAGGAATGCCGGTGTTCAACACCGTAATTCACACAACCATTCAATCAACTACAGAAACGCAAGACATCGCCAGAGAAGACAATACCGAAGTATTCTAGAATCATCACTTATCTATATGTTCAACAACTTCAGCCAGAACAGCTTGTATAACATTGCTGAACACCCTTGCCAAGAAAGTTCATCGCTATACCACATGAGAACATGATAATGGAGGAACACTGCAGTAGGTCTGGAGTTTACCTGGAGAGAGTTCCGGGGGTCAACGCCCCCGCGGCCCGGTCTGTGACCAGGCCTCCTGGTGGATCAGAGCCTGATCAACCAGGCTGTTGCTGCTGGCTGCACGCAAACCAACATACGAGCCACAGCCTGGCTGGTCAGGTACCGACTTTAGATGCTTGTCCAGTGCCAGCTTGAAGACTGCCAGGGGTCTGTTGGTAATCCCCCTTATGTATGCTGGGAGGCAGTTGAACAGTCTCGGGCCCCTGACACTTATTGTATGGTCTCTTAATGTGCTAGTGACACCCCTGCTTTTCATTGGGGGGATGTTGCATCGTCTGCCAAGGCTTTTGCTTTCGTAGCGAGTGGTTTTCGTGTGCAAGTTCGGTACTAGTCCCTCTAGGATTTTCCAGGTGTATATAATCATGCATCTCTCCTGCCTGCGTTCCAGGGAATACAGGTTCAGGAACCTCAAGCGCTCCCAATAATTGAGGTGTTTTATCTCCGTTATGCGCGCCATGAAGGTTCTCTGTACATTTTCTAGGTCGGCAATTTCACCTGCCTTGAAAAGTGCTGTTAGTGTGCAGCAATATTCCAGCCTAGATAGAACAAGCGACCTGAAGAGTGTCATCATGGGCTTGGCCTCCCTAGTTTTGAAGGTTCTCATTATCCATCCTGTCATTTTTCTAGCAGATGCGATTGATACAATGTTATGGTCCTTGAAGGTGAGATCTTCTGACATGATCACTCCCAGGTCTTTGACGTTGGTGTTTTGTACTCTGATGAAGATTTAATTTCCTCGTGTTTACCATATCTGAGTAATTGAAATTTCTCATCGTTGAACTTCATATTGTTTTCTGCAGCCCACTGAAAGATTCGGTTGATGTCCGCCTGGAGCCTTGCAGTGTCTGCAATGGAAGACACTGTCATGCAGATTCGGGTGTCATCTGCAAAGGAAGACACGGTGCTGTGGCTGACATCCTTGTCTATGTCGGATATGAGGATAAGGAACAAGATGGGAGCGAGTACTGTGCCTTGTGTAACAGCTTTTCACCGTAGCTGCCTCGGACTTTACTCTGTTGACGACTACTCTCTGTGTTCTGTTAGTGAGGAAATTATAGATCCATCGACCGACTTTTCCTGTTATCCCTTTAGCACGCATTTTGTGCGCTATTACGCCATGGTCACACTTGTCGAAGGCTTTTGCAAAGTCTGTATATATTACATCTGCATTCTTATTAACTTCTAGTGCATTTAGGACCTTGTCGTAGTGATCCAATAGTTGAGACAGACAGCAGCGACCTGTTCTAAACCCATGTTGCCCTGGGTTGTGTAACTGATGGGTTTCTAGATGGGTGGTGATCTTGCTTCTTAGGACCCTTTCAAAGATTTTTATGATATGGGATGTTAGTGCTATTGGTCTGTAGTTCTTTGCTGTTGCTTTACTGCCCCCTTTGTGGAGTGGGGCTATGTCTGTTGTTTTTAGTAACTGTGGGACGACCCCCGTGTCCATGCTCCCTCTCCATAGGATGGAAAAGGCTCGTGATAGGGGCTTCTTGCAGTTCTTGATGAACACGGAGTTCCACGAGTCTGGCCCTGGGGCAGAGTGCATGGGCATGTCATTTATCGCCTGTTCGAAGTCATTTGGCGTCAGGATAACATCGGATAGGCTTGTGTTAACAAAATTCTGTGGCTCTCTCATAAAAAATTCGTTTTGATCTACTCATACTTACCAAGTTTTTAGACTATCACTCTACTCGGAAGGTTGTCACATGCAGCTTTCTCCACCTGACCCAGCATTCTCATCCTATAAATACTCACGAACGTTTCACCCAGGTAGATCCGTTTGCGACTTGATAAAGCCCACTGCATGGGCGAAACGTTGTCAATAAAGGATCACATTATACTGCTTGAGTGTTTATATTTCAAAGATCAAATTAAAAACAGTTATGCATTGTGAACCGTGACAACGTGTTCGCCCTTCCATACCTCTTAAGAAAGGGGAAGGGAATGTTGTGCCCAACATGGCGAAGGAATGCATTGCTGATGCTGTGGTCGGAAAGATTGTCAGTAGTGTAAACTAGTTGGAGCATAGAGAATTTTCTCCAAGGACTTAGAAATGGATCATAAGGGAAGGAATTGCTTAGTTGGAAGTTTCTTAGAAGCATAAGAAGAAACTGAGGTAAATCATCGGTGACAGGTCGATGTTGTTTGGATGGAACGTTAGACCATACAGAGTTGTGTACAATCCGAAAAATAGATGCACTATGTGGAGAAGCCAGGATCACAGTCAAAGCAGCACGGATGTCAAGTTTCTAAAGGTTCAGTCGAAACTGCTGTACCAGAGGGTAGCAGAACCTTATTACCTGGAGAAGGTCTGTTTAGAAGAGAGGTCCAAAGAAAGGTCTGAAAGTGTCAGGGTATGTAAAGGGTGCTGCAGGAAAGAGCCCGCGAGGAGGCAGGTTATGGGCCTTCGTGGAAAATTTCCCCTTTATTTAAAAAAAGGGGGTGGGGAATGAGGAGAAATAGCTCCCAGGAGGAATGAAAGGGATCTAGATTGATGCGTCTCTGGAGGCAGCCTGTCACTCTAAGAACACTTACCACCTCCCGGAACTCTGGCGGGTGACTGACTTCCCTGGATGATCCAGATTCCACAGCAAACACTTCACCTTCATAGGCGATGACCCTATAATCCAAAAGTAGGAAAGGAGAAGAATGAGAGGGGAGGGATGGGGGTAGTGAATGGGGGAGAGCAGAGCAATTAGGTTTAGTTGGAGAATGGTCCAATTCTTCAGACCAAAAGCCTTTTACCAGGATAAGGAGACCCCCCCCCTCCCAATAAAGAGGCGAGGTTCCTGAAATCTGTAGCCCTTTGCCAGGGCACCCAACTCAGTGACGAGTGCAAATGGTATTTAGCTTTGGTCCAAGGGATGGCAGCTCGACCGGTTTTTAAAACAGTTTACAAGTCTAAATTTAAGTCAGACTATCAGTGTAAGGAAGAAAAAAAAACATTTAAAAACTTAGTTATAAAACTCTTAAAATGTACACAGTAAAAAAACTTAAAATCATTAAATAGATCCATCTACCGACTTTTCCTGTTATCCCTTTAGCACGCATTTTGTGCGCTATTACGCCATGGTCACACTTGTCGAAGGCTTTTGCAAAGTCTGTATATATTACATCTGCATTCTTTTTAACTTCTAGTGTATTTAGGACAGTCCATAGAAAAAAAATTATCTAAGGTATTTTCAGAATACTTTCCAGTACCTCAAACTGTTAAAAACTAATTAGAAATAAGGTCTTCCTAGGTGACTTGTGTCTTCTACCTTCCAGCCACGTAGCCACAGACGTCACATCGTTGCCCACGTAGCAGGTAAGGTACTGCCAGTCCCAGGGGAAAGAGACAGATGGCTGCACATATACCACAGGTGGGATACACATTGTGAAGGTCACCAATCTGTTAAAAATGTCGTACATTAGGGGAAACTAAATCAGTAAGGATTCAATTGTTATGGTTATGGGGGATTACCAACAGACTCCTGGCAGTCTTCAAGCTGGCACTGGACAAGCACCTCAAGTCGGTTCCTGATCAGCCGGGCTGTGGCTCGTACGTTGGTTTGCGTGCAGCCAGCAGTAACAGCCTGGTTGATCAGGCTCTGATCCACCAGGCCTGGTCACAGACCGGGCGCGCGGGGGCGTTGACCCCCGGAACTCTCTCTCCAGGTAAACTCCAGGTAATAGGAATTAGCTTGCGAATGATAGGAAAAACCGTACAATTCTGCTTTCAAAATTAAGATTCTTTCTAAAAAAAATATTTATGCTAATTATAATCTATTGTATAAAGTAAAAAAAATCAAATGTCACATCAATATAAAAAAAATGCCTAATTTACTTTATGGAAATGTAACTTCTCACTCAGTAACTTCTCACTCAGTAACTTCTCACTCAGTAACTTCTCACTCAGTAACTTCTCACTCAGTAACTTCTCACTCAGTAACTTCTCACTCAGTAACTTCTCACTCAGTAACTTCTCACTCAGTAACTTCTCACTCAGTAACTTCTCACTCAGTAACTTCTCACTCAGTAACTTCTCACTCAGTAACTTCTCACTCAGTAACTTCTCACTTAAGCGGCAGATAGAAATCTAAAAAAAATTAATTTTCCTTTAAAACTAAATCAAATCTGAAAACGATGTGAGGAGTTCCGTCATTACACTCACCTTACAACTGGGGCAGGAACCTGGGGCAACACTGATACCCGGTGGTGGTGGTGTGTCTTGTCCAGTAACAGTTATTGCTTCCGTTTCATCTCTCTGGGAGGAAAACCCTGGAAATGAGCCTAGAGTAGATCTGGGCGCAGAGGCTGGAAAAAATTAAAGCGAGATATGATAAAATGCCGAACATTGTACAAAGTTCCGGGATATTGGATATTAAGATAAGATAAGATTTCGTTCGGATTTTTAACCCCGGAGGGTTAGCCACCCGGGATAACCCAAGAAAGTCAGTGCGTCATCGAGGACTGTCTAACTTATTTCCATTGGGGTCCTTAATCTTGTCCCCCAGGATGCGACCCACACCAGTCGACTAACACCCAGGTACCTATTTGCTGCTAGGTGAACAGGACAGCAGGTGTAAGGAAACGTGTCGAAATGTTTCCACCCGCCGGGAATCGAACCCGGGCCCTCCGTGTGTGAAGCGGGAGCTTTAGCCACCAGGCCACCAGTCGCTTGTTATGTTGAGCATTTCCCGCAAATTAGGTCAGTTTTGTCCCAGGATATTGTCAGCTGACAGATGAGCACATCCATTAGGTTAGGTAAGGTTCGTCAGGAAACAAGAAATGTTTCCTGACGCCGGTCTTAGATGATGACCCGGCTTTCCCCTGGCTTACCGGTCCACCCCTTGAACAAGTATAGTCATGTGGAACCATCTTGGTTACTAGCATATACATTCTATCTATTTTATTATTTGGAAGGTTACCCACAACAGCTGCAATCTTTAAGTGTATTATCCACTAATGTAACAATCTCTGTCCCATCACCTGTTCTCAGCAGTGCCCGTGACCGGGTGGCAAAAGCTCTCGCTTCACACGCCCAGGGTACGGCTTCAACTCCCGGTAAGTGTAGAAATACTGGGCGTGTTTCTTCCTTACACCTGTTGTCCATGTTCACCCGTCAGTAAAATGAGTACCTGGGTGTTAGTGGACTGGTGTGCGTCGCATCCTGGGACAAAACTGACCTAATTTGCGGGAAATGCTCAGCATAACAAGGGACTTTCTATATAGTAGTATGTCACTGATGTCATCTATGGTCTGTATACCTTGTACTTTTAGTAAATAAAGATATCTTTAAAAGGATGTTTATTTCTCTAACTGCTATACAGCTGATGCTAGTAAGATCTTTCTATTAGTCTACAATGTTACTTAGAAGTTACACAGATCCTCCTCATTAACAAGCCATAAATATTGTTAGGTAAGACACATATGCAACAGTTAGGTATCTTTATTTCGAAACGTTTCGCCTACACAGTAGGCTTCTTCAGTCGAATACAGGAAAGTTGATAGAAGCAGAAGATACTTGAAGACGATGTAATCAGTCCATCACCCTTAAAGTTTTGAGGTGGTCAGTCCCTCAGTCTGGAGAAGAGCATTGTTTTAGACTACAGAACAATGCTCTTCTCCAGACTGAGGGACTGACCACCTCAAAACTTTAAGGGTGATGGACTGATTACATCGTCTTCAAGTATCTTCTGCTTCTATCAACTTTTCTGTACTAGACTGAAGAAGCCTACTGTGTAGGCGAAACTTTTCGAAATAAAGATACCTAACTGTTGCATATGTGTCTTACCTAACAACCTGTCGGTATTTTATACCATTTTAATATTCAAGCTATAATTATCACAAATTTTTCGAACATTACAATGTAAAAATCACTTAATTAAAAGAGAAAAAAAAAACTAACTCACAGAGAGCAGAGTCACGAACTGATCTACCACGAGCAGACACAGTTGCCATACGACTGGCAACAACTGAAAGAAAATTAGAGATCTGTAGTTAATTTTTTTTTTTAAATTGACACATTAATACCAGTTTTCACACCGTGAAAATTAAATTACGCCAATGAAAAGAGTAATCTAAATTGTATAAAAACATTTAGGCACAAGTATATGGATTAGTAAATTTGATTCAATAAATAAATACATGGTTGCACTAGAAATGTTTAAAAATAGTGATCTCAAAAAAAAAAAAAAAACTTACCCAAAAATTTCGTTGCAGTTGATACTTTGTATGTAAAACTAAGACAAAAAAAAATCATGCACTTTGCTAAATTGTCAATTAAGGACAAATTTAGCAAGGTTTGAAAGAGGGAAGAAGTTTGCGAAGTTGACTTGCAAACGCCCTCGAAGAGTGTTGTATCTTCTTAAAGAAGGCATCCCCTCCTTCCCATTACCCCCCTCCTTTCCAATTTAGAGAAGCAATACTGGAAGAAATTAATAAACCCCTGAGTTTGTCACTTCAAACATCGGTTTACAGCCTGATCTAAGCCAGACTATCATGGACAAGTGACCCTCCAGAAATTCTTGTAACTACCTGGAATCATAGATCAGTATGACCTCGAAGGCGCCAGGATAATGGCGTGAGCACACGCCACTGATCTAGCAGTATAAATTAGTGCCACCATATTTAAAACAATTATATAATTCATGCCGGGAGGAAAGAACTACCATCTGGCCAAAAAGAACTACCATCTGGCCAAAAAGAACTACCATCTGGCCAAAAAGAACTACCATCTGGCCAAAAAACTACCATCTGGCCAAAAAGAACTACCATCTGGCCAAAAAGAACTACCATCTGGCCAAAAAGAACTACCATCTGCCCAAAAAGAACTACCATCTGCCCAAAAAGAACTACCATCTGCCCAAAAAGAACTACCATCTGCCCAAAAAGAACTACCATCTGCCCAAAAAGAACTACCATCTGCCCAAAAAGAACTACCATCTGCCCAAAAAGAACTACCATCTGCCCAAAAAGAACTACCATCTGCCCAAAAAGAACTACCATCTGCCCAAAAAGAACTACCATCTCCCAAAAAGAACTACCATCTCCCAAAAAGAACTACCATCTCCCAAAAAGAACTACCATCTGCCCAAAAGAACTACCATCTGCCCAAAAGAACTACCATCTGCCCAAAAGAACTACCATCTGCCCAAAAGAACTACCATCTGCCCAAAAGAACTACCATCTGCCCAAAAGAACCACCATCTGCCCACAAGAACTACCATCAGCTTTCTTATAAACATTACAGAAATAAACAGCCCAACAGTAGGATGTCTAAATGAATGTACTTCCGGAGCAACATGTCGAGTGTTAGCCACAGCAGCCGGGCACCTGACAATCTCTCACTATCACCACCAACCCTAGATACAAAGGTGACCTCCGCAGATAAACCAACCAATAAAATAAAGTGGTCTACCTGAGAGGCCACCTAGTGGTCGTCTCCCAGTGAGTGATGTACACCATCTTTACACTGCGATCTGTTAATGTACAAGGAGAGCACCTGGAACGAAAAAGCCGGGGGGGGGGGAAAGAGGGGTTTTGTTTTAGCGAGGTTAAGCTGTTCAAAATGTCAAAGACATCTATGGAAATGTTCATCAACAGTTAGTAGGGATTAGCTTAATATCTTGCAATTAGAAAAAAAAAGTGAAGTGCTAAACCCTTGTGGCTTCTTTATTGCAAGACGTGGGGGAGGATCAATCCTTGATAAAGATTAACCTATTTAGTTATACACCTTGACAAAACAACACTAGACACTAGAATAAAATGTTCAAGCAACATAACTGAACTAACCTATCCACACCTTACTTGTGGTATTTGTTTTGTGATCTAAACACAAACTTATAGAAACCTATTGTTACAATACAGAAATCAGCTATTAGAATAATTAACCAATCAGGTTCCAGACAATCCCTTCTCCCTCGCAGCCATGCAATACTTCGCCGAGTTGTACCAAACTTAATACGAACTTCAACGTAGCTCACAGTCTTGAGCAGCAATGAAAGATAAGATAAGATTTCGTTCGTATTTTTAACCCCGGAGGGTTAGCCACCCAGGATAACCCAAGAAAGTCAGTGCGTCATCGAGGACTGTCTAACTTATTTCCATTGGGGTCCATAATCTTGTCCCCCAGGATGCGACCCACACCAGTCGACTAACACCCAGGTACCTATTTGCTGCTAGGTGAACAGGACAACAGGTGTAAGGAAACGTGTCGGAATGTTTCCACCCGCCGGGAATCGAACCCGGGCCCTCCGTGTGTGAAGCGGAAGCTTTAGCCACCAGGCCACCGGGCCACCATAAGACAAGCCAATAGTAGACTCCTTACAATACACTGCAAAATCATTTACATACAAGGGAACCTTTACATCAGGAATAACACTGACCACACAAATTAGGACTTTAATGAAACAGGTGATGCTCCAAATATTACCCTCGGGTATCCCTCCCGGTCCAGGTTTAACTTCCGCGAGTAGCACGAACCAGACTAACCTTTAACGATATGCTAGTCCAAGAGTCTGGAGATCAGAGAATGCCAAACCTCCACGTAGTGTCACGTTTTTGCCTAACATTAGGACAGGTTATACCAAAGCTGGGTATTGGGAAGGTATGCTCACAGTAGGTAAGTTGTATCAACTAGTAAATAGATTTGTCATGGGATAAAAGGAAATTACTCAGGAAATCGTAATGAGACGATTGAAAACTTTACCACGGGTGGGGCTTGAACCCGTCGGTCTGGAGTTTTACGACTGACTGCGGGTTCAAGCCCCACCCGTGGTATGATTTAGTTAATAAAGGGAAACGATATAATGGGCAAGAGGTCGATATAAGGGTTTACAAGATTCCAGGTGTATACGATCCCTTCTACAGAAGGTTGGGGTAGAAAATAGTGAAAAATCCTTCAGCGTAAATGCTCCAGATAGTGAGAGCATTGAAGTAATTAGTTACAAGGTAGAAAAACCAGTTAGTAGGATTAAAGGCAGAATAATGTAACCCACAATTAAAGGATTGGAATGTATAGAGCATGATCAGGAAGATGTCTCAAAGATCACTACGACAAGGTCCTAAATGCACTAGAAGACAAAAAGAATGCAGATGTAATATATACAGACTTTGCAAAAGCCTTCGACAAGTGTGACCATGGCGTAATAGCGCACAAAATGCGCGCTAAAGGAATAACAGGAAAAGTCGGTCGATGGATCTATAATTTCCTCACTAACAGAACACAGAGAGTAGTCGTCAACAGAGTAAAGTCCGAGGCAGCTACGGTGAAAAGCTCTGTTCCACAAGGCACAGTACTAGCTCCCATCTTGTTCCTCATCCTCATATCCGACATAGACAAGGATGTCAGCCACAGCACCGTGTCTTCCTTTGCAGATGACACACCGAATCTGCATGACAGTGTCTTCCATTGCAGACACTGCAAGGCTCCAGGCGGACATCAACCAAATCTTTCAGTGGGCTGCAGAAAACAATATGAAGTTCAACGATGAGAAATTTCAATTACTCAGATATGGTAAACATGAGGAAATTAAATCTTCATCAGAGTACAAAACAAATTCTGGCCACAAAATAGAGCGAAACACCAACGTCAAAGACCTGGGAGTGATTATGTCGGAGGATCTCACCTTCAAGGACCATAACATTGTATCAATCGCATGTGCTAGAAATAAAGACAGGATGGATAATGAGAACCTTCAAAACTAGGGAGGCCAAGCCCATGATGACACTCTTCAGGTCACTTGTTCTATCTAGGCTGGAATATTGCTGCACTCTAACAGCACCTTTCAAGGCAGGTGAAATTGCCGACCTAGAAAATGTACAGAGAAACTTTCACGGCGCGCATAACGGAGATTAAAACACCTCAATTACTGGGAGCGCTTGAGGTTTCTAAACCTGTATTCCCTGGAACGCAGGAGGGAGAGATACATGATTATATACACTGGAAAAATCCTAGAGGGACTAGTACCGAACTTGCACACGAAAATCACTCACTACGAAAGCAAAAGACTTGGCAGACGATGCACCATCCCCCAATGAAAAGCAGGGGTGTCACTAGCACGTTTAGAGACCATACATAAGTGTCAGGGGCCCCGAGACTGTTCAACTGCCTCCCAGCACACATAAGGGGGATTACCAACAGACCCCTGGCAGTCTTCAAGCTGGCACTGGACAAGCACCTAAAGTCAGTTCCTGATTAGCCGGGCTGTGGCTCGTACGTTGGTTTGCGTGCAGCCAGCAGCAACAGCCTGGTTGATCAGGCGCTGATCCACCAGGAGGCCTGGTCACAGACCGGGCCGCGGGGGCATTGACCCCCGAAACTCTCTCCAGGTATCTCCAGGTAAAGAATATTAAGAGAGTAATGGATTGCCAAGGCCACATAGGACAATATTGATAAACATTGCTGTATACAGTTCTCTTTGTGGCACATCTATAACCACTTCCGACACGACTTTAACCAATACTGTAACCAAACCATACCCCGGCCGGGATTGAACTCGCGGTCAGAGTCTCAAAACTCCAGACCGTCACGTTAGCCACTGGACCAGCTAGCCACAATAAGATTCATCCAACTAGGTATATTTCCACACCATAGGAAGGTTAGCATAGGCCACCACTGTGACCACAAATGCAATATACCTAGTTGGACGAATCTTATTGTATCTAGCTGGTCTAGTGGCTAACGCGACGATCTGGAGTTTTGAGAGAGACTGACCGCGGGTTCAATCCCGGCCGGGGTATGGTTTGTTTGCAATCGTGTCATTACGATTTCGTGAGTCAATACTCTGTACCCTGTCATAGCGGGTATGTTCGGTTTTTGTGTCTTTTTATAGTTATGGTAGCTTTGGTCAGGGTTTTTTGTTTACTTTACTGACATGATTTGTGTTGTATATATATTGTGTGTTAAAGGTGGTTATGGCTTTAGTCACGTGATACAACTTTAACTTTAGTAACCTTGTGATGTTGTGCATTA